ACTGCCGACCTGCCTACCTGCAGACCTGCCTGCCTGCATGCCTACCTACATACATACATACATACATACATACATACATACATACATACATACATACCTACACACATATATACACACACATGTATATGAATGCATGCACGCATGGATGGGTTGATACATGTATGTATATATATATATATATATAGAGAGAGAGCAGGTTGCTGTGGGGCCTGGGTTTTTGAAACCCCACTTTTTAAGGGATTAGAGATATTTGTGTCGGAAATATCACTACAATAAGTACAGTACAGCACACTCCAAGTTGCGAGGATGACGAAGTATACCTTGGATGCGCTGACATGCAGAGTGCAAAGACAATAAGTTCAAAAAGTAGTAGTGGTGCCGACAGTGCTGCGCTCTGGTTGATTTTGAGCGACTGTTCTGCCTGATGCACACACGTGTAGCTCTGAGCTTAGCTCATGGCTGCTGCAGGTCGCTTTTTAGCGACTGTCTTCTTGCCACATGAGTACGGTCGCTTGGCTTTCTTACCGGAGCGAACATAACGATTCAGGTACGTAGACTGCTTCTGCTCCACTGCACAATTGTGCAGCTTCACGAAGTACAACACCTTGAAGCTATGGCGCATAGGGGAACTCTCGTTGAGAAGCCGTGCGTACCCCCTAAACCACGAAAAGACTTGTTCACACGCCGAGGAGTTTACCCCCTTGAACCTTGTAGCCAACCTCTTCTTGTAGATGGGGTTGCAAGGACATGTTTTGGTGTGGCCCTTCGCGTGAAAGCCGTCGATGCTCCAGTATTTGATTTGTTTCAGGCTCTTGTCGGCCCGGGCTGTGGGCAAGAAACCGCAGGCACGGTCCATGATTAGGCCATCCAAGTGCTTGTACAAAGGCAAGATTTCGAGAAGCGAGTCATAGAGGATCTCATTGTTCTCCGGAACAGACATGGATCTGACAGCCAGGATGCGAAGATCACGAGGATGGACCAACATGAACCAGCCATGGCCGAACGGCTTAATGCGACCATGCTTGGGAGGTTTACCTGCATGCTTGCGCGAGTTCGCGCATTTGATGTGGACTTTTTGATGCCCATCAGCGACAAGTTCTTTGACTGTAGTCTTGCACTTCGGCGGAAAGACCTTGAGATGGAGGTGTTTATGGTATGCTTGGAGAGCTTGAGGTGTGATCTCGTCGCCGATCTTGATGCTGAGATGTAGTTGTAGTGGATATAGTTCCTGGACGGCTATCCACGACATAATGGCGGAGGCGTGCATCTTTGCAAACCAGTTTGACTGCTCTCCATGAGCAGTGTTGAAAGTGTGCTGGTACGTGTGTTTGATTGCCATGGCAGACACACAGGCACGGAACTCCAGGAAGCTATGGTACTTCAAGTAGTCCGCAGTAAAGCCAATCTTCGTCCCCACAAAGAGAGCCCCGATCTCTTCAATGTTCTTGGGGGTGGCAGTGTTATACTTGTGAGAGAGATCCCAAACAAAATTTGGCCCGTATGTTTTCCTGCACCCGAAGCTCGAACAGCGGAAGCTCTGCACGATAATGCGTTCCATTCCGTTCATGCCGTAGAGGATGGCGTTGATCTCGTGACCTGGCTTCAGGACGGAACTCGAAGAGCAAAAGCATCGTGTGAGATGTGTTTTATACACAGCTCTGGCGGGCGGAAGGGCCGCCGCTGGACGTTTGGTCGGCGCCGGCATGATGGATCTAAAGATCTCAAAACTTGACCCCAAATGTCTAACGAAGTGAGACAGAGTTCAATGCAGACGCTGCATGTGAAGGTGTGTTTGCAAATTCTCTGGTTTTCCAACGGCATCTGTTAGCGGTCCTTGTCAGAGGATCTGCGTGGTCAAAATGGTCCGCCTCGATAAGAGTTAGATCAGTCCTCGGAGTGCATGTGACCTGCGGCCTCCTCATCCGCAGCATCGTCGTACTCGATCCTTTGTTGCTTAGCAGGGGGTGATGCAATCGCTGGACTACTGGTGGTAGCTGCCGTCGACATGTTGCCTCTTGGCGTAGTCAGTGGCCCGCCGTAAGCCTCAGCCCACTGATCGTGGGACCGCCCCCTGGCCAAATACTCCTTCTCGGAAGGAGAAGCAAGCAACTCGTTCACCAAATTGGCCTCAGCTTCAAGGGCTTCCTGATAACCGGGGAACTTCACATGCTGGCCTTCCTTGTATAGGTTGTAGAATTTCTTGTTGGTGGGCTTCAACCAGTCCTTCAGCATGGAACAGGAGTCGAACCGGTGAATGACCTGGTCCGGGTGCTCACTTGCCAGGCGAACATAGACTGCCAAATCACCCGCAATGACCACCGAAGCTCGCTTCAAAATGGCCATGAGGTGGGGGAGAGAAGCATTGTTGACCGCAGGGCTGAACATATCTTTGAAGGCCTCCCAGCCAATCTTGTCGCCCATGGTCATTCGTGGCTCCTTCTCCGCCCCCCATTCATTGTTGAGGAGAATGCGGACTTGGTTGCGCACAAATTTGGCGGCCCTATACCGGGCATCCACCAGGGTGTTCTCGGCCACATCGAGAAAGGACTTGATATCTTCCATGTTCATGGAGTGCAGCAAGGGGTCATCGAGAAGAACCGGCACATGCAACTCGCCAGGCCTTTCCCGGAATCCGTCGATCTGCTTAGATCTTCTAAATCCAGGAATGTGGCCATCAAGACCACGAGTTACCACGAGGTGGCGAGCGACGGCCAGCGCGAGGATGATGGCAGTGGGCGTTTTTCCGACACCTGCACGGCCTAAAAGGATAAGCCCATGCCCAGTCATGGTGGGCATCACCAATGGCACGACCTTCTCCAAAAAGCTTTGGTCCAAGTCATGTAGTAGAAGTGGAAAGAAGTATTCTGGCTCACTCTGTGAGTTGCCCGTGGACCGATTGATGCAAGCTTTGTTGACCACATGATGGGGCCAGCCATAGATGGGAGAATCACGGTCACGAACATTGAGTAGACACCACAAGAACTGCTCGTTCTTGGTGTTGGACAGAGGCGCATAGTCATTGATATAGGCGATACCCGCACGTAGCTCGTCGTCGCTGGGCTGCCAGTTTTTCCCATCACCCGAGTCGTCCTTCTTCATGGCTTTGGCAGACACTTTGTTCACCAATGATTGCGTCAACCATTGCTCGCCCTGGATGCGGTTGAGCATGTAGAGGAAAGCGCACTTGACGTGATCGTTGTTGTTTGCGACCTGGTAGTTGATGACGCTTACCTTCTGTGCACAGAAAGCTTTAGCAAGTCCCAAAGGAATGAAGGCGGAGGAGTGAAAGAACTTCAGTACCGTGTACTTGCCGTCTTGCTCAGGGGATATGGCCATTTGCAATACGCAGGAGTCTCCAAGTGCATCACGAGGACGTACTGAGTCAGGTAGCTCGTTAACCTTGGGCGGGTCCGAGTTGTAGACGTTGCGGATGACATCGCAATCTGCAGCGGAAACCCCCTCTACGATGTGGAAGAACTCCTTGAATTTCTTACCTTTGGCATTGGGGGCATCAATGAGCGGAAGGTCTTTGATGGAGAACTCACCTGAATCATTTAAGTTGTGGACGAGAGCAGACTGGTACTTGATGTACGTCATCTTCGCTGCGATGATTGCGTGATCCATGGTGTGCAAAGCGAGGATTGCTGAGGGCACTGAGGGCAGTATCTGTATCAATGAGCAAAAGCTTCAGGAAGCGAAAGGCAGGACGAGTTTATAAACACGGCCATGTTTATAAACATGTTTGGGGCTTACATTGACTTCAAGTTTGATGCTTTTCCCAAATTGTGCAGTGGCGCCGGCGCTATTGCAAGGAGTCGACTATACTAAGCTTACACTCACTTCGGTCACTTGGCCTGGTCCCATCGGAGTTTGGCCCGGTGAACAGCCTTTAACATAGCCATGACGATGTCCGCTTTCTCCTGGCCCTCCCCTGCCGACAGATCGAGGAGGAAAAGGCTCTCTTGCCAGACGTCATGCCATTCTGCAGGCCACGTGCCCCAATCCGTAGGCAATGTCCAAGAAGATGATGAAGAACTCGAGGAGGCGTCCGAGTCCGAGCCGGCATCCTGTTCCTTGGTGTCCACCGCGTTCTCTGCCTGTGTGTCCTGGGTGTTCTTTGTCTCCTCTAGTTCCAAGAGGGGGTTCTCTGCGAGCAAGTCCTTAGCATCCTTTGCGTCGGGGTTCTCTGTGTGCAAGTCCTCGGCGTCCTTTGCCTCTACCTCCAAAGCCTTTGCCTCCTCTGTGTCCGGCTTGTCGTTTACATCACCGTCCAAGATGGCTAGGGGAGCTGCTGCTTTGGTGCCGGTGCCCTTCTTCGGCGACGACAACCACTTGTTGAGCATCTCCAAGGCCTGTGAGGTCCATTCGCCCTTCACGCCGGTGGTCAAGTTGAGAGACCGTTGGATGTAGCAAATGTGAGATTGGAGCTGACGACTGGAGAGAGTTCTCTTCGATGCGTGTACATCTGAAGTCGGCGAAGCAATCTGCGACATGATGTCCTGAATCGGCGGCATTCCGGAGGAAGTGTTCTGTGAAGGCGACGTCGTGGAAGAAGAAGCAGAAGTAGTTGTAGCGAGGTTAACGCTGGTGAGCTGGAGCTTACACACACCGTTCTCGAACTCAACGAAACCCGCCACAGCCGACGACCGCTTCATGCTACTCTACCGCTAAACTGCGAAACGCCGCTAAACACGTCTTAATCCGAAAATGCTGCATCAACATCTGTGTGAATCTGACTTCATCATGAGAATCGCAACATGAGCATTACGAAAGGAATAGTAATAGTAGCCGTAGTCTAAGATAGTCCAAGTGCAGCCGAGGTGCATTAGTATACTCAACAGAAGATCTAAATCTTTACGTGCTTGTCTGTACAAGCCATGTCTGTAAACTCAAAAACAAGAAGTAAGTGTGTGTGT